AACAATGATGGATCTGGACCAAACTTGGCACAAATACTCAATATGCCCAAATATGAACACAGATGGAGTTTGGGAGAAAATAGACCTTGACATTTGGGAGTTGTAGTCACTGGGATTCACAGTTCACATACAATCAAAGAGCATTCTGAACCCCACGAACGACAGAATCGGGGCAAACTTCCCACACAGAACTCCCATGACCAACAAAAAATACTTAAGGCCATCCAATCCAACTCCCTTCACCAGGGCAAGAAAACGTAATCAAAGTCTTCCTGACAAAGAGCCATCCAGCCATAGATATAGATAGATATAGTATCATAGATTTGAAATGGACCCCTGACGAAGAACAATGATATGTTGCATGTTCCAGGTGGGCAAACCAGACACTCTCCACATCAACACGGACAAAGAAACAGCAAGAAATACTCTTTACTCACAAGCAGAAAGACATTACATATATTAGAAACCACCACTTTCTCATTACTTTATTTTCCAGATCAACAGACTGGGCCACAGCAACGCGTGGCAGGGGACAGCTAGTAAACTTATATTTGTTAAATTGTTCTTCATTTTAATTATCGTATTGCTTTTAAGTGGTTTTTTGCACTAGACATAAGATATGTGCAGTGTGCATAGGAATTCATTCATGGGTTGTTGTTTTTTTCAAATTATAATCCGGCCCTCCAGCAGTTTGAGGACTGTGATCTGGCCCTCTGTTTCAAAAGGTTTGAGGACCTCTGTTCTATTATAACTGTTGTTATTTGCCAATTTGTTGATTGAGTTGCATTAATTACCAATATATGGATAAGTTTCCAATTACAAAAATAAAATCTGTTGATTAACCACATGGATTAGCTATAAAGGAAACTATGTAAGAACTGTTTATACAGTGGAAATTATATGAAATGTATATAGGTAAAGCTAAAGGTTTTCCCCTGACATTAAGCTGGGGCTAACATCGGGAGCTCATGCCACTCCCCGGATTCAAACCTGTGACCTTTTGGTATGCAAGTTCAGCAGCTCAGAGCTTTAACCCACAGCACCATCAGGGGCTCCAGTGTATTCATGGACCTGGTCTTTTGCTATGTTCCTGGATTATCTTCGATTGTGGATTTTTATTGTTTTGCTACTTTTACTTGCTTTGCCTACATATGTCCTATAATATTATTTATTTATTGTATTTGTATACCGCCTTTCTCAGCCAATCAGCGACTCAAGGCGGTTTCCAACAAATCAGTACATATAAAAACATAAAGCAGATTAAAACATTAAACGATATAAAACACCACAAAAGCAATAAAAACATCATTAGCGTCTCATTATTATCAAGCATTGTCCAGTTCCATTGTCAAATCATTCAATTTCCTATATTAGCTACTCTGCATTTGTAAACGCTTGCTCGAACAGCAATGTTTTAACTTGCCTACGAAACGTTAAGAGGGAGGGAGCAGATCTAATCCCCTTAGGGAGGGTGTTCCATAGCCGAGGGGCCACCACTGAGAAGGCCCTGTCTCTTGTCCCTGCCAAACGTACTTGAGACGAAGGCAGGACCGAGAGCAGGGCCTCCCCAGATGATCTTAAAAGTCCTCGTTGGTTCGTAAGGGGAGACATGTTCGGACAGGTACATTGGGCCAGAACCGTTTAGGGCTTTATAGGCCAAAGCCAGAACATTGAATTGGGCCCGGTACCAAACCGGCAGCCAGTGGAGCTGGCACAACAAAGGGGTTGTATGGACCATCTTCAAAGGCAACCCCACTTAGAGAGCATTGCAGTAGTCTATACGGGATGTAACCAGAGCGTGGACTACTGTGGCCAAGTCAGACTTCCCAAGGTACGGGTGCAGCCGGCGCACAAGTTTTAACTGTATAAATGCTCCCCTAGTCACCGCCGAAACCTGAGGTTCCAGGCTCAGCGATGAATCCAGGATCACACCCAAGCTGCGAACCTGCGTCTTCAGGGGGAGTGTAACTTCATCCAACCCAGGCTGTAACCCTATGCCCTGTTCGGCCTTACGACTGACCAGGATGTCAACGTCTTGGTTCGTGTCTACGTTGTGCGGGTGAGACCAAGAGACACATCATTTTCAAACCCCTCCCTTTTGCTCTGCTTGCACAAAGTCCTACCATGTTGGGCTCATCTACACTGGACATGTAATGTAGCCTGAAAGCAGTGGCTTTACTACACATGCCATTGAAGTGCATTCAGTGCGTTTTAAGAGACATGTCTCAAACTCAAGGCTCAAAGGCCGTATCTGGCTCTCTATGACACTTTATGTGGCCCTCCAGATGTTAGACTCCAACTCCTGTATTACTCATTATTTGACACCATGACTAGAGCTGATGGGAGTTGTGATACATTTACACCGGGATGGGTGCAGTTTTTTCTGTTCAGTCAGGAATGGATTTAGACACACAGGGCTTGCAGATAAGAAGTCTGACTTTAAAACTGCACCACTGGGGGCTCCTGAAACGTGTGTGTGAATTACAACTTGGGCAATCCATGGTTCTAAATGGTTCTAAAGTACTTACAAAACTAAAGTTCTGGTGGTGAAAATTTCA